AATAGAAGAATAGAATTGGGTGATTACAAATGGGGATGAGAGCTCTCTATTTATAGGGGAGCTCCCTCTCAATCGATGGTCAAGATCGTTTTACATGAAGGGCTAGGATTGATTCCCACCTAACCCACCTCCCTTAATTTAAGGCAATCCCACCTAACCTTATCCTTCTAGAATCCTCCAAGGAACGGGCCAGATCTGATGGTTCTGGGCAAGCCCAATAGTCTGTATAATTATCTTACAGATATCTGCTCACATGTCTTGGTTCGAATCTACGAGCCTTGACAGAATTGCCCCAATCGCCCTCGTCGCTTCTCTTGGATGCCTCGGAATAGATCCTTATCGAACTTGTAAGCCCGATACTCCATATTGAACCTCGTTGTCGGACGTTTACACCAATATCTCGGACCCAAGTTTCTAGCCAGTGAGATTCTCCCCCACTGAACCTAGCGACGCCCTCGTCGCTATACTCGACGATCCTGGGCAACATCATCTTGGATAATCTTCGGTGCCTTGGCTTGTCGCGTTCCTCCGAACTGCTCTCCTTGGCTTTTGCCTCATGTAACTTCAAGATCTTTTACGCCATACTTCCCATCAACTTGGTTGCCTTTCGACGCCTCCACTTGTTCATGTTCCCCATAAGGACTCGACCTTCCATAATGGATGTGCTTGCTATGGCTCTTGCCGCCAAGTAATGAAATGGGCTAACATGTCCACAAGTGCATCTCTAATGTAGGAACTCTTTCCTACAAGTCTTGATTTGCCTCGGTTTGGACCCTCTTGTCCCTTGCGACAAAGTCTTGGATCCCATCCAAACTTTGTTCCGTTCCGCGCTAAAGTTAGGTCTTGCCCGACCTACACTCGCTTAAAATGGCAAATCAAACTCAAAGAACACATGATAAGTGTTGAAATGTACCTTCCCCTATGATTTAGTTGGCATTTACTCAAAATTTTACGTCAGCCCTTCTTGCTCCATGAAGTTTGACACTCCCCGCATTGAACCCTTGTCATTGGAGTTCTTTGCGCCATCATGCATCGGCACTTTCTCACGGCAAAGTTCGATGCCCCTATTTGCCTCCTCCCTTCTAACACGAAGGTAGGAGCTCACTTACCACCTTGGAAATGGGTGGTGTCTCCACGGTTGCCTTGTCCCTCAACGTCTTGGCTCCCTTCGACTCTTGTCTATGAGTCTTGAAAGAATTGTTCCTCTCTTGAACATCCTCGGTAAGCCCTTTCTTCGACTCCTTGGACATGGACAACTCTGTTTGCCCTTGGATTCTACTTGCCTTGGCTGAAATGAACCTTATTAAGGCAATTCTCAGCGCCCCCTCGATTCTAGGTTTGTCCTCTTCTCCGGACAACTCGATCTTGGGCTCATCCATTACCTTGGATGACTCGGCTCCTCTCGGGTAGTCTCGCAACACTTCTGGCATCTTAAGTTTGCGCCCCCTCGTGTGCTCGAATCTTACCCTCGGCTTAGTATCTTCGGCACTTGAACTTGTACCAAGACTGCACACATCATCACCAGATCCACCGTCTGGTTCATCATTGAGTGGACTTGCTCTGCCACTCGAGGAACAACCTTCCTCATCATCCAACTTGCCTTCATTTCGGAATAGCTTGCCGCTACCCTCGGCTTTTGGCTTGGATTTGGAAGTCTTGTTCTTCTTGACTCCAAACTCTTTGATGGACTCCGCGGTTGTCAAGGCTTTAGACAACTCCTTGACTTCCCTTCGCTCCAACACTTTCTTCGCCCCCGGCTTCAGTCCAAACATGAAGGTGAAGAACGCATCTTCTTCAGTCAAACTTGGGACTTTGAGCATGAGTCTTCTGAATCGGCTCACGTACTTCTTTAGTGTCCCCTTATGCCTGAGGCGCCTCAACTTGTACCACGCCTCCATCCTGGCATTTTGTGAGCGATCCTGCTCACTTTGTACCCTTGGCTTGACGGCTTTATCATTGGCTATCGCACCGGGTCCCTTCTTGTGCTCGACTGCTTTGACACCCGCAGTCTCGACACGTCTCGATCTTGGGCGAACTACTTGATAGCTTGTAGTCGCACCATGCTTGCCCCTCGATTCGGCAACTTTGGAACACGTAGCCTCACCAAGTCTTGCTCCTGACTTGATTGCTTGAACACCCGCAATCGCATAGAGCTTTCCCCTCGGTTCGACTGCTTCATCATCGACAACCTTTCCTCGTCTGGATCCTTGCTTGGCCGTATTGATCCCATCAATCGGACCAAGTCTTTCTCTTGAGTTGGCAATTTTACTTGTGCCTCCGCCAATTTCCGCTACTTCTCCTTCTCCCATCATCCGCATGATGGTTGTAAGGCGACGCTTCTCGGGACATCCTCTAATCAAATGAGGACCATCACAGAAGTAACACTTCAGCTTTTCCTTGCTCGCCTTCTTCTTCTCCCCGGACTTGGCCTTGCCATTCTTTCCCGATGGCTTTCCTTGGCCGCGAACAGTCGATGGCTCAACTTGGCCACTCGAAGAGCTTTTTATACCATCTCCCCGTTGCACCTTTTCCCGGTCTCCCCCATTGTTGCCACTATTCTTGCCACTATTCTTGGGCATGGGCCTGGACGACACATCGCTCCTTGGCTTGACATCTGCAAACTCAGTCGGCATTCCGGCTACAACTATGGCTTCTGAAAATCTCTGGGCATCACCTTGCTCTACCCTGAGCATCACCCCTGGTCTAAGTCCTTCCAAGAAGGTCTTGAGCGCACCTCATTCACTCATTGCTCCCTTGCATATGAGTAGCTCCCTCTTGAGCTCATCCACCTCGTTCCTCAAAGCCGTTACCTCGGCTTCTTGGGCATTTCTCCCTCGAACTGTCTCCAACTCTGCGTCTGCTTGGCCTCATCCTCGGCTTGTTCAAGTCTACCGACCCTTTGTTCCCACGAAGTTAAGATATGCTCTAGATTAATGAGCCTCTATGTGTGGTCAGCAATACATTCCATCCAGTAGGCTCATTTTTCGTACAATGAGAGTTCTCCTTATTCCTCATTAAGACTCTTCTCGTCTTCATGAGAGAACGTGATGTCTCGCTCGGACATGCCTTCGGCGTCACCCTTGAGCCTCTCTACCTCGAGAACTGGCTCCTCTTGGTATGTTTTCGTTGCCTCAAGCATTCCTTGCGAACTCATCACAACATCCTCATGCTTGGACACCGATGATGCTATTGAGCCCAACGGACTCTCTTCCCGTTTCCCACCATGGCACTCCTTGCCTTTGCGTGCGAAAACTCCTTTTCTCTTGTGCCCCATCTCAATTATCAAATTAAATTGATTGAAAGTAAGTAAAACAAACTTACCCGGTTTCGCACCTTCCACCAACTCAGTCGAAACGATTGTTGCTTGCTCACAACGAAACGCTTTGATACAACTTGTCACGCCCCCAGAACTTCGACGCCTCAAACCGTCGGAATATCATAGTCAAGGTCGTGCGGTCTTAGACGCTTTAAGACGCTCTTCGGTCTTCTCCGCGACTAAGTAAGCCTTACCCAAGCTAAGTGAGCATGCAAACTCACAATGGTTGGAACCAAGCCCTCAAGGCTTCGGATTACGGAAGCTTTAACACCAACGTGGCTACTTCGAGCCACAAGGTCGGACTATCGTGTGGAAGTGCTAACACGAAGGTGACTACTCCTGGCCACCAAGATAGGCAACAAGAACAAAGAACTAAGAACTCAGAAAGAATAGAGTAAATGCCTCAGAGCTTATATTACTCTCTCAAAGAGAAGAATGGAATTGGGTGATTACACATGGGGAGGAGAGCTCTCTATTTATAGGGGAGCTCCCTCTTAATCGATGACCAAGATCGTTTTACATGAAGGGCTAGGATTGATTCCTACCTAACTCACCTCCCTTAATTTAAGGCAATCTCACCTAACCTTATCCTTCTAGAATCCTCCAAGGAACGGGCCAGATCTGATGGTTCTGGGCAAGCCCAATAGTATGTATAATTATCTTACAGATATTTGCTCACATGTCTTGGTTCGAATCTACGAGCCTTGACATAATTGCCCCCATCGCTTCTCTTGGACGCCTCGGAATAGATCCTTATCAGACTTGTTAAGCATTCTCCAAGAATCGGCTAAATCTGGTGGTCACGGTAATCCTGATACTCCATATTGAACCTCGTTGTCGGACGCTTACACTAATATCTCGGACTCAAGTTTCTAGCCCGTGACAATATATATATATATGTTAACTGCGGAAATTCACCTAAGGCAAAGCAATCTCGAACTTCTTAAATTTTCTGCTTCGGCTGCATCGTATTTACAGTGCTGTGATGAACTAAAGACACAGAATTTTTTCGTCTGATGGTGAAAAACATTGTTTCTTTCCTCTGTTCGTATGTATCTGCAGACTTATCTCAAGTCGTTTTCATTTCAGTCCCCTGATTTTGCAAGAAATGGTAATTTTTTTTCTTAATGAATTTTGCGTACATCAATTCGTTTGTCAGTTACAGTTCATCTGGGGGTCTTACTTCTTGGCTTCAATATCTGTTCATAAATTGCAACTTTTGCGTTGACCATTTCAAAACATTTATTATTTAATATTAACTTACAACGATGATCACCTAACTTTTTTATAAATTTAATTTTAGTCATTGAATTTTAAAATCTTCATTTTACTCACCAACATTAGTTTTTGTTTACATTTTAATCATTCATGGTAAGTTTTTATTAGTGGAATGTATACAACAATTAGTTATAGCGATTAAGCAATGGAGAATTATTGGGTGGACCTAGGTTTGAATCCCAGTTCCAACCCTTCGTTTTATCTTCTAACCAACCGGAGATTAACTATGTCACCAACAACTTAAGTATAGGTGACCAAAATAAAAATAGGAGCTAATGTAGTCGATCAAAATAAAATTTTTAAAAACTTGATAACTAAAATGATTTTTTTTAAATTAAGTGACTAATAGTATAATTTACGCAGAAATTCTTCTTCTACCAGTACCGGGATAAAATGAAAAATATACTAGTGTTGAGATGTGTTTCAGTTTATGCTTCTTGAAGACAATGGATGCCCTTTTATTTTCTGTGTTCTTTGTCTCCGTCCCTGCGCAACATCTATGTGAACTACAACCTAAAAAGGCATGAAACTAGCAAATGATGAAAAGACAAAATAAACTTGCAGCCATTTGGACTAGTCTACGGCTCCAGTGTTGCTGAACACATAGCGCATGTGGTCGAGGCACTGGAATTGGCGAAAGTGCAGACATCACAAGTCCAAGAACCTCGTTCGCACATTGTACAAAATGTTGAAGAACCCTCATTTTCGAAGGAACAATAAGCACAAGCCCATGGTTCCATGGCAGTGCCAGTGGCAGAGTTATCGCTAATGTTCGAACTGAAGTCAGGAGCTCCAATAACAGCCGGAGTCAGAGCCAAAGTCCAAATCAACTTGCGTCTCTTTCGAACACTTGATGAACCAATCAACTTGCATTTCTTTCGAACACTTGATGAACCAATCAACTTGGGTTTCTTTGGAACACTTGATGAACCCCCAGGGTTTACATCAGACAGTCCATTCTGCAAAGCGGTAACCAAGTTGTCAAAGTAATTTCTAGTGACACCAGTGAGCAAAGCAAGCTTTTTACGAAACTCGATGAATTCCATTGTTGAGCGCTTGAGTTTGAGGAATGGCAGCAGCTCCTTTTCAGCACAATCATGAAGCCTCTCCAAGCCAGACTCGGCCTGACCTTGCAAGTACTCAAACAAGTTCCTTTTAGCCTGGCATTCGTCCAGCAAGTAAAATCCATACGCATAGGTCCATGCAAGTACCCTCCTACATTCAATTATCTGTTGCCAAGCCTCTGTTATAAAACTGATTTCAGCCGCAGATATTTCTTGAACATGACGGACAATCTCAATCTCTTTCAATTGCACATTTTGCAAGTCATCAGCAGCCTTTTTCATCGACTTCCTATTGGTCGCCCAGCGTTCAAAGTAATGGGCATATTTCATCATGTATTTCTTGGCCTTCTCTCTTTTTTCCTCTTCCGGTTTCTCCCTGAAACGATTACAAAGGTCATGCCCTTTCCAACCTTTAAGGCAGAGCCAGCAAAACTCAAAATAGCAAGGCGCCCTACACGTCATATGCGAACACCCCATGTTTTTTTCAATCGGCCTTTTGCATTGGGGACAAGGCTTGGTAAAAGCTAGTATGTAATTCACATTCTCAGACTCCGAGCTGTTCTTTAACATCCATTTTGACATGGTTTCACAGTCCACCGGACGATGAGCTTCTTGAGTACAATTCCAGCAAAAGGAATGGGAGCAAAGGCAAGAAACGTCGAAACTTTCACTCCCAGCGACAAAGTCGACAGCGTTTTCACAGCCTGGACCTGGACACCACTTGGTCATCTTGTTTGATTCAATATATGACATAACAAAGTAACCAGAATACTTGTTCTTCTCTTGTTCGGATGCAAATAGACCCACCATGTCTTCGCCGACAGCAGCACGACAAGATGGGTGGGGACACTTTAGCAATAAACTTTGAGGGCCATCACCAATGGCTTTCTTAATGTAGGAACTCCAGCAATCATTACAATAAGGATGTCCACATCTTGTGGACTTCATCCCATCACAAGTGTAGTATTCAAAGCAGATTTCACAAAGCATATTACCGCCATGATCAGGTGATTCGACCAATGGTTTAACAAACAAGCCTGCCTTTTCATGGGCTAGTTTTTCATCAGCAAACCATGCATCAAAAACATTACTAACACTCCAGTTAAAATGAAGGAGTAAGATACCTGCTTCAGTTTTCGATAGAGAAAGGACAGAGGAGACTTCAGCAACAGTATCAGTTACACGCTGACGTATATCTGCTTCAGTTAGAACAGTACAATTCTTGCGGATCATCCGAAAATCATCAGTCGCATCTTCTTCGAGCGCAACCCCATCGTCACCATCGTCGTGATCTTCATCATCTTCCTGGCTGTTGTTGCCTTTGTGTAGATGCAAGTCATCATCTGTATCATCGTTGTAGAAGTCGTCGTCATGGGAATCGTCCAACGCAGAATCAGCCATGACCAAATAAATCTAGCACTAGAAGAAACTGGGAAACCTAGGATACGACAATAGCGGAGGGAAAGAGGGGATCGTTTAGCTTGGAAACGTTTTCTGTTTCTTTCTGTTTGGAAAATCGAATCCTATAAAAGCTGAAAGACCTGTGATAAACGGAATGAGAAAAAAAAAAGGTTTATTATTTTGTCTATTGATAACAATAAATCCCAAGGGAAGCGATTTTATTTTTAATTTATTTAATACCCTAGTAGTCTTCTCCTTCTCATTTAAGTAATCGACACGATCCCTAATGAACACAAAAGGAAAGAATTAGCTACGGAATCCTGTGGCCATATACTTGTATGCCCAGACGACTCTCAGCCCACCGATAGAAAGTAGATTTCTTTTAAAACCGTACAGATATGTTGTTTGGTTGAATTATATTTAATTAGATACGAAACCTTCACCCATATGTAAACAATTTAAATCGAATGATATAATAATTTATCAGATGACACCTTATAAAAATAAAATTATACATCATTAATATATCAAATACTAATTCAAAAAATTTATTTATTTTACTAAAAATAAATTTTGAATTTATGCAGTTATAAATATCTCAAACATATCAAAATTTTTATAGCAATAAATTATAAATGTATAAAAATAATGTAGTACCAAAAAGTAGAAAGCTGTAGAGATTCAAATTTAATGGTTCCACCTCAAGAAATGAAAGGTGGCCACTAACTTGCTATAGTTCTTCCCTCATTACGTTCCAAAGACAACTTTAAGGAAGGCGGTTCATAATTGTGGGCGATTGTAAGGGTATTGAAATATCATGTAGGGTCAGGTGCTGGAATTTTGGTTTTTCCGACGTTAGAGAGGGTAAACAATGGTGCTCGGATGTCTCATTTACAAACTTACATCAGAACTTGTATAAACAAAGTCAAAGACAGTACTTAACCCCAGCGAATACCTTCTTCCCAGTCCCTTTTCCTTGACAAACAAAACAAAAACAAATTTGAAGCGTACGTCCTTTTAAGAAAGCAACTGACAACGTCGACCACAAGGAGTGGTAAATGAAATCCATGACCAGTCAGGTGATGACATGAACCATGTTAATCCTATTAAGGATGTTGGCTTCGCATTGTGAGTAATCCTATTAAGGATGAAATAGAACATACAAGACTCTTTCAATCCAACCATGGGTAGACTTGAAGTTAGTAAAGAACAGACGCTGTATAAACAGCATAGTAAAATTCATGCAGGCAAGCAAACAAACCATTTTACACTGAACGTGATACTTCAACTTTTATCCGATAATGAATGAATATAATGAGTAATTTTCAAATAAATCGATTTTTGGGTTTTTTTTGTGGGGGGGGGGGTCGTCTATTATAATACAACAATAGTAATAATTAATTAGAGCAAGCTAAACACGGCTCCCCTACTCCAAATTGAAAATACAAGCAGATTTATACAGAGGGCAAAATCTCTCCCTTACATGGAAGCAAGAAGGTCTCTCATTTCAATAACCGATGGAATGGTTTCTGTGGGGTAAATTTTGGCAACAAGTTGGGCAAAGCTATCATCCTTGTCCAGAAACTCCTGTCAAATTTCCAAGAAATAAAAACTAGTAAGAAACCAGCAACTCAAATTCCCTCCTTCCTTCCCCTCACAACCCACTCACTCGCATTTTGTTCACAATGCACTTCATTAGCCACTTTGTAAAATACTTTGGCAAAACCACTTGCCACTGAAGCTTAGATCAGTTTCAGAAATAGAAGTAAGCTTACCTAGCCCTTGTCCCACAAAGAGGGTAACAGTTCCTCGGACGTTAAATTCTTTTGCAACTTCTTATACATAGCAGCAATGGATTTGTCAACCAGTAGGAGACAAGTCAAGAATCAAAATATAAATTCCACCATTTGAAACTAAGGACAGAGTGTTCCAAAAGTTGATGATGAACTCACCCCAGATAAACTGGATTTTAACATCTTTCGTAGATCCATTTTAGACAATCCAAGCTGAAAAGGTATCTGAGATTTTTGAAGGACAAAGTCAGCCAAATCATTCATGTGTTAACAATCAGCAATGGTCTGGATATCTGTAAAGACGAGAAGGGGCCAGAATGCATATTATGACTTGATCAGTAAATTTAGTTAAAAGTAGGATAGATGCTCTGGAAGATCTATCTGATGAAACTCTAGGTGTTTACCCTTGCTTTTGAAAATAACTTTTGGAGCCATAAGCAACACTAAACAGATAGCTTTTCAGGCTAAAATGCTTTTCGAACTCGGCAAAATTATTCATTTGACCTCATTTATATCACCAAACCTTTAATATTTTCAAAAGAAACATCTAAAATTGTCATTTTATTTATTCAAAAGTACCTTTTTCAAAAGCACTTCTCAATCCTTTTCAAAACCAAACAAATTCATGAGCATGCTAACCTCTTCTGCTGAAATTGTGAACTAAATCCTCGATCTTTCGAGCAATCTGGAAAAGTCGTTCAAATTGCTGCAAAGAGAACAATTGTATTCACTGCCTAACATTAATGAAGCAACTAAAAAGGCCACCAAGGTGGATTACTTACATAGTATATTATCATGCTGATATGACGTGTACATGCTTGTTCATAAGCTTCACTTGCTTGGTGGTAAAATTTGGCTAATGTGGGCACAACATTGGCCAGGTCATACAAACTGTAAAGAGTGCATGGAAAGGACAAAGAATTGATCGCAAGAAACAAGAGTAAATATATCCACAGCCATAGGAAAAAGAAGATGCAGACCTATTCTGAAATGCTGCATAATTTTCTAAAACAAATATATCAGCGTATTTTGGATCTGTTTGTGCAAGTTTTTCAAGAGTAGCAAACAAAACGCTAACCTGCCAAACAATATTAGCAATGTGAATATTCTCAGTAATTATAGGCATACATATTCAGAAAATAATAACATGGGGGAGGAGTTGATTTGATACCACGATCTGAATGAATTAGATCTTATTAAGAAAGGGAGGATTGTGTATATATACATAAATATATATATAAGCAGCTAACCAGATCATAAGTACATGGAAGATGGCTGTACTTACCGCTCATCAGCAGAAGTAGCTAAAACGAATGTGCTTTGGTAACTTATCAGTTATCGCTCTATTTCATGCAACAATATGCTAAATAGTAGCATCACTGCAACTCGCTCAGTACATGCTCAATTCTTGTAATGAATCTCATGATGCTAAAGGCTACAATATAATCCATCATGAGCTCACTTAACCACACTAATCAACTAATCCAAAATAACAAGGATATCAAGCTGAAAATGAGACTCACAAATTTGGTGTATGCTTGATCAACCAAGTCCCGTGACTGTCCCTGAATGTATTGTTCCATGCGTGTGGCTAGAGTTGCAAAGCTGTGCACAAGTGCATTTAAATTGTTCAAAACCAACTGAAGTAGAACATGGCGAGTAAAGAAATAATTAAGCATCACAAGCCTAGCTATCTTGGAAATAACATTTATAGCATATGTTGATAATATTTGCCAATAAAAGCAAAAACATTTCCGATCACAAAGTGGAACAAATACTTTTTTTCTCTTTACATTTATATCAGCTTTGATCTCAAACTATGTTGCTCAGACTACACTTTTACTGAAATACTCGTGTCAGACACTCGTGTCCAACACATGGATACATGGATTTGACCTCAAGGATCCTCCGAATACATGGAAAAACTTAAAAAACCTAATCATACCCATATGGGATGCATATCCATGTCCAACACTAACAACTAAGTCTGAGTAACATAGGTCTCAAATTTGCATTCTCTGAAATCTTATAAATGCTGTGATTCACTTTACCGAGGGATGTAAGACAGGACTCCCACTTGCCGCACATTACGTTCATTTCTTTCAATTTGATGGCAAGCCTCATTAACAAACTGCAAATGCAATTGCAGCTTAAACAGGATATATCCATACTAAAAGCAAAATGTCATAAAATTTTCAGTTTCCATTTAAACGTACCCGGCTGAACTGCGTAGAAATTCTTGATTCAAGGGCACCAAGCAGGAGACGTACAAATCCAGCTGCATCAGCTTTCTTTCCAGATAGATAACGCTCTGTTATCCCATGCATGGATATGCAACGTAAAGGGTCGATCTTGTAATCCCAATCAACTACAGCGTAGAAATCTTCCTGCAATTCAGGGAATTTTAATTTTCAGAAAGAAGAAAAAAAAAAGAACAAAAAAATAGAGATTGCAAACAAGAGAGTGCCTACCAAGCAACATCATAAAGACATGCTAATATAAACAAGGAGAACAAGTACAATGAATGAAAAGAACACACGAGCAACTCTAAAATAACGAGCATTAGTAAAACTCACATAAAAATGGTAAAACATTTGGTTCCAGAAACTCATAACAATAAGGAGCGACAGTAAAAGAATCTGCAAAAGACTGCAATATGCTTACATACTTGAATTCCATCGAGCAAATCCTGTAGCGACCTATTTAGTGATTGCAGATCAGCCGAAGTTTTACCTAATAAACAGTTCCGACATTTTTCAGTTTGAATTAGAGGAAAGGAGGTTTATTATCATAAATTATAAGGTCACAAGAAAAAAAAATGCCTTCAAAAAAAATGATTACCAGCTTTACTATCATTGTCATCAATGTCCATAATGCCCAGGTCATCATCATTGGATCCACCTTTACTACCGTTAGCAACAGCTCCTGGGGTAGTAAGTGCAGGAACTTCAAAGCACATGAAGTGTGCAAAGAAAGAACTCTGCAGTTTGAGCCCCGAAGGAAAAAATTTCAAATAAAGATAGACTTGTGAATATATGTAACCTCTTGTACTAATAGCGCAGGGAAGGACTACCTCATCTACAAGTAGGGGAATAAAAATTGTCAGCATTTTGGCATAAGCATCTGAAACTGCAGAAGTGTCTGCACTATTCCCACTTTGACTGCCACCTGTGGAAGCCTCCAGCCAGACAGTTGGATTTCTTGATGCTTTTGTACTAGCACGAAGCTCATTGGCAAATTCACGAGCCTAAACAGAATTTAACTATTTATCAAGCATTCTAACCAGCATTAAGTTCAAATGAGAAAGACATTTCTTTTTCTGGATAATTTGAAAAAATTTCATTCCCAGCCTCTCGACACAGAAGTAAGTTAAGTGAGCTACAATAAGCTTTCCTCAAAGGACCCAAGCAACTCTTATCAAGACTCTGAGGATGAG